ATAGATATTCTCTTCATTCTGGGGCGTCTGTATCCAGTAAGGGTCCTAAGGTTCGACCCTTGCTAAGCGAGCCCGCCGCAGACATGAGCGAGACAGATAATGTTCCTCATAAATTAAAGGACACTTATCCTCAAAGCCATTAAGGGTTAAGTGAAATATTCCATCGTATTCAAAAATTAATTAAAAAATCCTTCTTTAAAGTTGATGTCCAACTTTCAACACATGCTTCCTCCAGGGCACCTACTGTACCTCTTTTTTTTCTCCATAACAGAACTGCACACTCTCTGTATGCTGATGTAAAGCTGAGGAGCCAAAGAGTTTCATTCTAGATAAACGTGGCTGCTCTGTTTGTCTGTGCATCACAACAAAAGCTGAAACTTGAAGCTTTGCCGAGCACCAAAGTCTTTGGACTGTCACTGATATCAGTGCTGTTCAACTTATCTACTGTTTCACAGGAAAATGTATTTAACATGTTAAAGAGCCAAAGCGTGACGTCACAGATGATACTGAAGCAAACACTCAGTCCAGACTGAGCTCTTCATCGTTGGTACCGTCGCTTTGTTTTTAGGCAGCAGCAGTGAAAGCTGAAGAAAACAAAGTGTAAATGTTGATGAAGGTTCAACTTTGCCAGCACGTCTCCTCTGACTGCAAACGATGCAGAGATGTTAGTGACGCACAGGAAGCTTTTAAAGACACAATGATCAGGTTAGTGCAGGTGAGCATGACCAACTGAGCTGATCAGTAACTGTTCAGGTTTGTAATCAGACTGATTTGTGCTAGATTGAAACATTTGAGTCCTCAGAGGTCACAGTGTGACACACTTGCATCCACTTCCTGTTTGTGTCCAACACGTCACACAGACCTGCAGCTGCCTGACAAATAAGCTTTACTGTGTTCAGGATGATGTCAGCAGGTCACAGGAGAATCCGTCAGTCTGTAACTGTTGGAGGATCAACATCAGAGATTGATGACATGAAGGTGCTGACAGGTGATCTGCCAGCAGGTGTGAACAGGTGAACCTGTGACTTTAGCTTTCTGTGTTTTCATCACTCGAGTCTGTTCAAAAGCTGAAACTCTGAATCATTGCTGCAGTAAAGCTCTGAGTATTAAAGTAAAGACGAGCTGCTTGAAGAGCAGCTTGAGCTCATATTAACATGAGACTGTATACACATTATCATATTAATATGAGCTGTGCTTCTTATTAACATGAAGCACAGCTCATATTAATGAGAGTGCAGCCTCTACATGCACAAATATGTGATCCAGTCTTATCTGTTCAGTGTGAACGAGCACACACACTGAATGCTTTCTTTCCTCCATCCTGCTCACTGCGCAGTGATGATGCATATTTGGAATAAGTGCACATCTAAAGGGCACAAACAGTGCAGCTGTGAACTCTCTCTGCAGTCACTCCATCATCTAAAGACACTGTGGATGTGACACAGAGAGGAAACTCAGCTTTTCTTCCTGCTCTTTCTCTCGCTTCACCTTCCTGTTAAACTGTAAGCACAAATCAAAGACGGTCAGAGGAACTCAGCAGACCAGCTGCTGCTCCATCTACAGGTGGAGACACCACCCACGTGTCTTTAACCAGAGTCACAAAGTAACAGAGTGAAGAGCAGCAGGTGAAGCAGAGAGGAAGGAAAGAAGGAAACAAGGTCCCTCTGTGTCCTTCAAACAAGCATCAAGGTTTCATATCCAATGAATATAAAGCTGGAAACACACAGTTCATACAGAAGTGATTTGATCACCATACATATCAGGAAATCACTCATTCAGTCTTCATGGATCCACACTGATGACATGCACAGTTACTTCCTGGTGTTCGCCCAGTGTTTGCACTTGTTTCATGTTTATTCACCTGTTCACATTTCCTGCTGTCATGTTTGTTTCCTGTGTGTTATTAGTTCAGTTCAGCTGTGTGTCCCTGATCATCATCATCAGCCAGAGTGTTTAAACCCTCAGTGTCTCTCTGCTCAGCGTCATTGTTGATGTTGATGTGCTCGACTCTGCACGTGTGTTCGCTTCAGTCCTTTCAGCTCAGCCAGTCATCCTGTGTTCCTGATGATAAACAGCAGCCTTCACCTCCCTGTGAGTCCTTTCCTCACCCACACAGCAACCACTGACATGATGGGACCACCTGCTGTGGGAACTGGTCCCAGTCGGGCTTGCAAAGCGGCAGCTCTGCTTGGAAGTGTTTCCAGAAGCTGGAGGCCAACAGGAGCTGATTCAAAGCTGCACAGAGCCCATTTACACGCAGCCTAAGTTATGTTTGTTATAACTGCCACATGTCCCCACATCACATGCAGCCAATCATAAAGTTACTCAGAATACAAGGATTTTACATTTAGTTAAACTGAGTCATTAGGATAAGATCCTTTCCAAAACAGCCAAATAAACCTGCCATAGAAACAGGCTGTCTGACTGTGTCAGCTGAGTTATTAGTTACAACTCACCCAGCTGTTTCATTGGCTGTCCTCTTACATGTGACCTTGGCTACATTTTTGCTGAGTCAGATTTTCTATCAGGTTTCTCCACCCTGAGGTCAGAGGTCAGCTCTGTCTCACACTCAGCACAAACCACCAGCATCACTCAGTCTGCAAGTGTCACATTAGTCGACTGGCAGTGACGGTTGTGCCGATGCAGTGGATTTACCACATGTGAGCTTCCTGCAGTGTTTTGGATTATCAGGAAGTCTTGTGCAGAGCTGCAGAGGCAGTGTATTAAGAACAGGATGCAGATGTGCAGACAGGAAAAGCGGAACTAGGCAGACCAGAGCAGCAGCACACACACATACACATTAAGTAAGGGCAGAGGTAAAGAAGTTGTTTTGACCGAAACTGTGTATGACGTGTAAGCTGAACAGAGAACCAAAATAACAGGAGGAGTGGGGGCTCTATGAGGAACGCTGAAATTATAAATGTAACAGATCCATGTGTGGCAGGACGAATGTTATATCTCGGTTCAACCCACTTTCGGCCTGGCCCATTAGGGGGCGCTAGTATAAATAGTGGCCATTTGACCATTCCTGGATCGCTTATCTGTGATCTCCTTTTTGGTCACCTGACTTCCCTTGGTGTTGCAGAGATCATCTGCGGGTTACCCTTCTGAAGCCTCCATCGCGGCTGCTAGGTGTTTACTCATTGTAGTGTGTACATTACCTTACTTGGTGGTAAACAGATGTTGTTTTTAGGTCGTAGCTGTAGAAGCCTCCTATGAGCCTCTCTGCTCATGATTCATGACCCTGTTTACTCAGAAGTGTGGGCCTTAGTTTTGCACAACGCTACGCTAACTGAAGTGCTGCTGCTTTGCTTTTACCGTCTGTTCCTGTAGCGAGGTTACTTTTCCTGCTGCTGCCAGCCTTTTAAAGTGGACGTCGGCGTGGACAGCGGCCATATGCATGCCGGCTACGGGAGTCAGTTTAACAAATGCAATAGTTATCAGCTTCTTCTAATTCAGGAGAATAATGCAAACTAAAACTACATAATAATTCACAATCTTTAATTAGGGGCATAACATGGCATAAAATAATATTATAATCCCACACTTGAAAAGGGGGATTTAGACACAGACATACTGAAACACTGAGGACAAGACAGACCATGTAATATACTACCAACAGACTCATAACTAAGAATACATAGAATAACCTAAACTAGACTGAAAGGCAACCTGTTAATAATACTAAAATTTAACATCCTTTAAATATACCTAAGAAATCACAAATACAACAATAAACGCTTAATGCTGGGTCACATGACCCAGGATGGTGACAAACATCTGGAGCCACATGTTGTATTTGGTACAGACTTGATGTCAGATGCATAAAACTGCTCTTCCTGACACAAACACTGAGGCACTGTCACTTCTCCTTAACATGAAAACATTATGAAGCTCTCTCTGAGTAGAGATGTCAGTGCTGATCAGTAATCAATAGATAACTGGTGTTTATTAATAGTAATGTGCCATCTGTTAGAAAGAACAAACAAACATGTGGCGTGCATCTGAACATGTAGTATAGAGAGTATCGGGAAAAGCATCTACACTGCTGCCTGATGCTTCTTTACTTGTTTGACAGCAGGGGAAGGATCTCCCAATGTTTCTGACAGCTGATGGAGTTCGTTGAAGCTCGTACCAACATGTGCTTTGGCTCCTTCGTCCACTCATCTTCTCATCTCCTCCAGTTTCTGGACCTTCTCTGTGTCTCCTTTCTGCTTCATCTTCTCAATCAGGAAGTCCAAGTGGACCATAGTGGATGCGGAATCAGCTTTCAGAGCGATCTGCTCCAGTCTGACAGCATGCTGGTAGGACTCGTCCAGGAACCGCGACTTCTCGGCTGTCAGCTGTTTCATTTCATTTTCAAGATTTTCTGAAAGACTCAATATTTTCTTAATGTCCATTTTATTTCCTGCCTGTTTCAGGGCTTCTTTCATGTTTCTGGTTTCTCTCTGTTTCACTTCAGCCAGCTTGATTCTCTCTTTCAGGTTTTGGATGGAGGCTTTCAGTCTTATCCGTTCATTTAACACTTCAACTGTTGTCATCAGTTTTTGAGGACTAGATTTTTCTAAGAAGTCTGTGAACTGATCCATGTTTTTCTGTGTGAGTTCCCATGTATTTTTTGAAATTGTGTTTTCCTCCATTCGCTCTTCATGCTGGCAGTTATCAAACAGGAAGTAAACTGGCTGATTCTTCCCTTTTTTGGCACATTTAATATTCCAATCTTCAAGAGCTTGAAGAGGGTTTTTAGGTCTGCTTGCATCTGAGTGTGTGATCAGAGCTACGATGTTTTTCTCCATGTTTTTTCCAAACAGAGACATCACTGAATCAAAGACATACCAGCGGTCACCCAGTCGATTCTCACTCGCCTTCATCACCAGACCCACTGCATGAACTTCATGGACTCCATCATCTGATCCAAACAAGTCCAACAATCTGTAACTGATGATGTCATGATGTTCAGTCCCTCTGGTGTCTCTATACCAGGAGTATGATGATGGTCAGAGAGTAGGGCAGAGTTTCATCTTCAAAACCAAAGATCTCGTACACCATCACATCTGATGTCTGACTTCTTCTCTCCTCCTCTGCGATCATAAACCAGACTTCATCCTCCCACTTCACTCCCATGGTGTAGTTGAGCAGAGCGTTGATCAGAGTAGATTTTCCTGCTCCTGTTTCTCCCACCAGTAAGATGGTTCTGTTTGTCTCATCTGGATTTTTTTCTCCAACAGTGATTCTTGTCAGAGATCGAACTTCTGTTTCTTTGGTCTCAGCTGGTAGACAGCAGGAGGTCCTGAACTGATGAGAAAACTTTTTGAGATGATGTCTTCATGTGGTGATGAGGTCAAACTGATCCTGCACAGAAAAGAACATTTCATTTTATTTCTGTATTTATAAAGCACATTTAATAACAACAGGGAGCTGACCAAAGTGCTGTACAAAATAACAATTAAACAATGACATTGACAACAACAGGTAAGGAAATTCAAAGAAAATTAGGATAAAAGAATTGGTAACTCTCAAACAGTTTCGAAAGCCAGAGTAAAAAAATATGTTTTAAGATGCGATTTAAAAAGAGTAACAGTTGGGGCCTTTCTAATGTGGAGAGGAAGATCATTCCACATGTTCGGTGCCACAACCGCAAATGCCCGATTTCCTCTATGAACCATCCTAGACTTATGTGAGGTAAGGAGCAGGTGATCGCTTGATCGAAGGGCTCTAGAGGGCGTATATGCTGCAATAGGTCAGAGAAATAGTCGGTGCCTGGCCATTTAGCACTTTATAAGTCAAAAGTAAGATTTTGAATTTAATTCTAAAACACACTGGAAGCCAATGAAGAGAAGCAAGCGCCAGAGTAATATGTTGGTGTTTCTTCACACGAGTCAAAAGGCGAGCTGCAGCACTCTGTACAAGTTGGAAACAGAAGTCTTCAGTACACATGTAAACATTTCGAACAGGTTACTGTTTAACATCGAAAAGTGAGCCGAACCTTTTCTGCTCAGCATCAAAATTACATAAAATTAAAACTTTTTTTCTTTTTTCCATCTAGATTGGTTTTTTTCTGTCTGCTCTCCCAAAGCACTAGTTGTCACACTGCAACTCTTTATTAGACTGGGGAGGCTGACTGTACGCTGTCCACTAAACAGAAGCAAGCTCTAATTTTTATTTCTTCACTTGTAATTCACACGCTGAACAAATATAATTGTTTCTTCATCCTTTGACTGGGTTGACATGACAGTCATGTGGTTGCCCGGGGAGCAGTGTGTAGGGATGGTACCTTGCTCAGGGGTACCTCAGGGTAAATTATGATCGTGTTCTTATTTCTGGTGATTTTAACATTCACATATGTTGTGAGGCGGACCTTTTAAGGTAGATGCACATAATCAGCATCAGGTGTGTTGTTCAGGGTAGGAAGGCAAACAGTTTGTGACCGCTGCACTGTTATGGTAAAGTTGTGTTAGAATAAAGACTAAAAGGACAAGATAAGTACACTGTGGAGTTATTGGACTGTTTTTTGAATTGCATGCATACCTGTGACATCCCGCCAACCCCCCATTAATGGACACCTCAGTGGCTTCAAGCTTAGCCTCTACACCACAGGTGTCGAACTCCAGGCCTCGAGGGCCGGTGTCCTGCAGGTTTTAGATGTGTCCTTGATCCAACACAACTGATTTAAATGGCTAAATGACCTCCTCAACGTGCCTTGCAGTTCTCCAGAAGACTGGTAATGAACTAATCATTTGATTCAGGTGTGTTGACCCAGGATGTTATCCAAAACCTGCAGGACACCGGCTCTCGAGGCCTGGAGTTTGACACCCCTGCTCTACACAGTGATTAACCCTTTAAGAGCTACCATAGAACCAAGTCCGCCAGAGCTTATATTATATTTTTACATGCTGTGGAGCCATTTTTGGGAGCATTTCAAGTTGCTATACATCAATACAACCATTATAGCCCAAATTTTAATAATATGCATGCATTAAGTGCATACTACTTACATAAATTACAAAAAAGTGCAATAAACTACAAAAATATTTAAAATCGTTTTGGTTTTTTTAACATATATTTCTAGTTAGAGAAATTTAAGAGGCTTATCCCTCAAAACTGTAAATACAAAAAAGTTGCACAAAATAGTTTCCCACCACAGGAAACTTATTTTGAGTGTCTTCATAGTTTTATTTTTGAAACACACCAATTTTCATATACTGCAGGGAAAACGAAAATAAATATTATAATGCAAATTTGCTAAATAACAGCATATGCATCAAAATAAACTATTTCCAGCAGTGCAATATGAGTCCTAAGCATCCCAGAAACGACACAAAGTCATAAAGTCAAACATAACTTTTATAAACACAAGTATAGCCTCAGGAGGCCCTGATGGTAAAAAACTACATTTCCGCAAAATGACGACACTTTCGGCCAGGTCATGGCGGACATGTGACCGTTCACGCTGATGGACGTAGGAAGTGTTACGAACAGCTGATCGGATCGGCAAAGCGTGTTTCTGGAATATTATGTTTTTGTTGCTGCAAGCGCTTTTTATGCGGTTTTTGCAAAGCTATATGTGGAAGGAAACTGTGACCGAGGACAAGCTGATGGCATAAGATGTAAGTACAACTCCTCCAGTGGTGCAACCTGTAATCAAGAAAAGCAGCCTTGATCATAATGTTCTCACAAATTACAAGCCAATTTCTTAACTACCTTTTATGTCAAAAATTCTAGAGAAAGCAGTGCTTCAACAACTACAGACCCATTCCGAGATAAACGGTATCAGTGATAAATTCCAGTCCAGATTTAAACTGCATCACAGTACTGAAACTACCCTACTAAGAGTTTTCAATGACCTTCTTCTAATCGCTGACTCTGGGCGCTCTGCAGTCTTAGATCTGACTTCAGCCTTTGATACAGTTGACCATGAGATTCTTTTGGCAAGGTTAGAACATGTAGTTGGCCTTAGAGGAAATGTTCTTTCATGGTTTAAATCATATTTTTCTGAGAGGTCATTCTCTGTCACGATGGGAAAATATTCCTCTTGTTTTGCCCCTTTTGGCTGTGGTGTGCCTCAAGGCTCGGTGCTGGGTCCTGTGTTGTTCTCCCTGTACATGTTGCCCTTGGGCTCCATTTTTGAAAAACACAATGTCTCATTTCATTGTGATGCTGATGATATTCAAATCTATCTCCACTTGTCCGGGGATGTTTCATCTTCACTACATCCTCTGTTTTATTGTTTGAGGGATTTCAAAGACTGGCTATCATGTAAGTCTCTTACTCTGAATGAAAAGAAGATGGAAATTATTGTTGTTGATATAAATATGCCTCTGGGACAACTAACTGGTACACTTGGGCCTGTTGCTATTCACCTCACTGATGCTGTTAGGAATCTTGGAGTTTTTATGGACAGTTCCTTCAAACTGGATAAACAGGTGTCTACTGTGGTAAAAACTAGCTTCCATCAACCACGCCAAATTTCTAAGGCTAAACCTAGATTATTACTAGATTATTGTAACTCTTTACTTGGGCCTCCAATCTTCCCTCCTTCAGTGATTGCAGTTGGACCAAAATGCCGCAGCACATTGTTGAGATTTAAATATATATTCTTAGTGCTTATTTTCTGATTGTATTGTTTTATGTACTTTAATAATGAAGCTTGTAAAGCAAGTCTACTTTTGACTCACAAACTAAGTGCTCAGCCAGACTGAAAAACAGGAAGTTAGTGTAGAGCTGTACAAGCATATTAATAAATACAGGAAGCCAGACAAAAGGAGGAACTCGTTCCATATAAGGGTTTGTTTGTATCGGAACTATGGGTGACGTGCTGCAAAATATATAGCGAGACAGGCTCCTAATGCCCCAGACCTGAGCTGGCATTTCTGTGTGTGCTCAGTCTCCATTTTCTGGAAAATGTAAAATTAAAGATAATTTTTTGAGTTAGACCACTTTGAGCCGTGTCTTTCTTTGCCGTAAAGAATACAAAGAACTGGATTTAATAACGTTGCTGAACTGGCACTAGCAGGTATGATTTCATTTCCCCTGTTCTAGCTAACTTACACTGGCTTCCTATCAAATATCGAATCGATTTTAAAATCTTATTTTTTACTTATTAATCCTAAATAATATGGCAACTGATTACTTAGCGGATCTCCTTTGTCTGTATAGCCCTAAGAGAGCACTAAGATCGTACGGTTACGTTGTAACCTTGGTTCTCTTAGTGAGAGACTATCTCTCTACACCGTTACATATTCCATATGTACGGGGTACGACACCCTTGGTCGTGGCGTGTGGATATTTCTTTAAGACACTCTGGCCCACCCGGCTATGCCCCACAGCTACGTATAAAACAGCTGTGCAGAAGTGACACAGGTGATCGTTTGATCGAAACGCGTCTCCGTGTGGCCTCACGGTGGAGAGAGTCTCGATATGCTAGAGAACGTACGGTTACGTTGTAACCATGGTTCTCTTAGTGAGAGACTATCTCTCCACACCGTTACATATTCCATATGTACGGGGTAACTCTGTAAGACACCCCGCGACATTCAAGCGGTAGAACCGCGTGAAGGTGGAGGCCGAGGAGCACGTCGCTGCCTCACAGACAGTGGAGAGGGAGGCGCCTCTCCACAAAGCCCAGGAAGTGGCCACACTACGCGTAGAATGGGCCCGAACGCCCAAGGTGAGAGGGACACCGGCCGAGGCATAAGCCTGGCGGATGGCCTCCACGACCCAGTGGGACAACCGGGGCTTGGACAGGGGCCTGCAAAGCAACCCAGGATGGAACGAGACGAACAGTTGGTCCGTGGAACGAAACGGCTGAGTACGAGCAATGTACGGCGCCAGTACATGAATGGGGCACAGGGCCTGGAGACGCTGTGCCGCCTCCCGATCCAGACCGTCAGTGGGGGCTGACCGCAGCTCAACCGACTGGGAGAGGTGAAAATCGGAGAGGGACTTAGGCAGGAAGGCAGGGTTAGGCCGAAGGACCACCCCTTGACCGTCCGGTAGCCATCTGCAACAGTCACGATGGACCGACAGGGCCTGCAGCTCGCTGATTCGTCTAGCAGACGTAATAGCGAGGAGAAAAGCGGTCTTGAGCGACAGCCACTTCAACCCAGCTTCGTGCAGAGGTTCGAAGGGAGGGTGCACAAGGGCACCAAGGACCAGGTCCATATCCCAGGGGGGGACCGCGGACCCCGGCGCACGAGCCGTGAGGCAACAGGTGCCTCTCAGGAATAGGGAAATCAAGACGGCATCGGCGTCACTAATGGCTGAGCGACCAAGGTGAACAGCCTTAATGGCAGCCACCAGGCCACGCAATGTGGCAGCGGCCCTGCCAACCTCCAGCTGGGACTGCAGGAAGCTCAGGATGACGTCCACCGTCGCGCCATGGGGGTCCTGCCCATGGGCCGCGCACCAGGCGGCGTACAATCCCCAGCGTTAGCTGCAGAAACCTGGGGTGGGCCCACAACCACAGTCTGGTGGCCATGTTGCAGAGGGGAGGAGAGCCAAACCCGCCCTGGCGGGTGATATAGGCAGCTGCCACGGTGCTGTCTGTCCGGACAATAACGTGAAACCCCCACAGCCGAGGCGAAAAAAGCTGAAGTGCCAGGAAAGCGGCTCGCAACTCCAGGACATTGATGTGTTGGGACAACCATGGGCCCGACCAGCACCCGCTGACCCCGCAACCTTCGTGGACCGCCCCCCAGCCGACTGGGGAGGCGTCTGAGAAGACCACCAGCCGGCGAGTCACAGGACCCATCGCCTGACCCTGTCGGAGATTGACAGGGTCCCTCCACCACCGCAGGGCCCGGGCCAGGCCCCGGGAAACCAGCACGGTGGATGGCAGAGGCCGAGAGACAGCAGGCAACGCTGAACCGGTCTCATGTGCAGGAGAGCCAATGGGACCACCTGCACTGTAGCAGCCATCAGGCCCATGAGGCGGAGACACAGTCCCCAGCGCACCCGAGAGTGGAGGCTGAAGGAGGCCAGGCACGCACTGAGGACCCTCTGGCGATCTGCCATCAGGGAGACCAAGGCCTTGACAGAGTCGAGGGACATGCCCAGAAAGGTGGTGGTTTGGGTCGGCTCCAACCTGGACTTCTTGAGATTCAGGCGGAGTCCCAGAGCCTGAATATGCTAGACCAACAGGGCAACATGGCTGCGACACTGGTCTTCCGAGGAAGCGCAGATCAGCCAGTCATCCAAATAATTGAGAACCCTGATGCCCCACAGCCTCATAGGAGCAAGGGCGGCATCCATGCACCTGGTAAAGGTTCGGAGCGCCAGGGAAATGCCAAAGGGGAGGACGCGGAACTCGAAGATCCGCCCCTCGAACCCAAACCTGAGGAACCGCCAGTGACCCTGCCAGATAGGGATATGGAAGTAGGCGTCCTTCAGGTCGATGGTGGCCAGTCCCCCGCAGCGATGGCCTGACGCACCCTGGGGACTGTGGGCATCTTGCACTTCAGGGGTTGGAGATAGCGAATGAGGCCCCTGAGGTCCAGAATGGCACAGAGACCCCCATCCCGCTTTGGGACCAAAAAGTAACGGGAGAAGAACCCCACCCAGTGGTCCCTGGCGTCCACCTCCCGTATGGCGCCCTTCGATAGAAGGGACCCCAGTTCCTCCCACAGCACCCAGCCCTGACCTGGGTCAGCCACGGAGGTGAAGGTTGGAGTGGAAGTCAGGGGAGGTCTGCTGCAAAACTGAAGGCGATAACCCTGGGTCATGGTAGATACCACCCAAGGGTCCGCCCCCAGGGCTGACCAGGCAACCCTGCGCTGTTCTGTAGCCAGGGAGGCGGGCAGGGCGGCCTGGCCCATGGAAACATCAGGAATGGTAAAAAATGGTAAATGGCCTGTATTTATATAGCGCTTTTACTAGTCCCTAAGGACCCCAAAGCGCTTTACATATCCAGTCATCCACCCATTCACACACACATTCACACACTGGTGATGGCAAGCTACATTGTAGCCACAGCCACCCTGGGGCGCACTGACAGAGGCGAGGCTGCCGGACACTGGCGCCACCGGGCAATCTGACCACCACCAGTAGGCAACGGGTGAAGTGTCTTGCCCAAGGACACAACGGCCGAGACTGTCCAAGCCGGGGCTCGAACCGGAAACCTTCCAATTACAAGGCGAACTCCCAACTCTTGAGCCACGATCACGAGGGGGGCCGGAGGACGACTGGCTCTTGGCACCCTGGCCCCCTCTCCAAGCCTGAGCGCGGCTGCCACGCCTACGAAAGGCCTCCAGCTGGGTACGGAGATCTTCAGGACCCCAAGTAGGAGCAGCAGGGCCAGGCGGAGGCACAGAAGCACGAGCCCGCCCTACCCTGACCGGACGCTTGCGCAAGCCCCGCGACATCTCCTGCGTAGCACGGTGAGTCTCCGGAGCCTGCTGGAGGAGCTGAGCCGCACCGGGGCCAAACATGGCCGCAGGGTCGACCGGGAGCCTCATGAGGCAATCCTGGTCATCCGAACGGAGCCGGGACTGAGACAGCCAGAGATGGCAACGCGCCACCCAAAAAGCAGCCAAGGAAGAGCCCGTAGCAATAGCCTGATGTTTCTTGAGCGAAGCTAGGAGAGAGGACGAGGACAGCAACTCACCCACGCCCTCCAGATCACCCGAGGTAGCCTGCAATCGACGGGCCAAATGCCGCAGATGAAGCGACAATATGGCCGACAAATTAGACAGGCAGTCTTGGGTCGCCATAGACCTATGCTGCTGAGCCAAGAGGCTGTCCATGGTTTTCACATCCCTATTAGGGCACGCAGCCCGCCCCAAGAGGGAGCCCGAAGGGGCAACCAGGGGGGCCAGGGACGGATCAACCGGGGGAAGGGGCCCACAGGCAATGCGCTCCTGGCCATGCATGGCCGAAAAGCACTTACAGGCAGGGGACCAACGGCGCAGGGCCGCGGGGGCCTCAAACTGTGCGCAAACCAGGTCCTGAAAATCAGGCAGCAGCGGCACCTGAGATAAGGAGCGCTGAGGCCGTGAAGCGTCATCAAATCGAGAAGGCGCTGAGACCGGCACCTCAGGGAGGGACAGCTCAAGTGCCCGGCACGCTCTTTCCAAAAGCTGAAAGAAACTCAACTGGCCAGACTGTGCCAGGGGAACCAGCAGGGGGCACCTCGGGAGACAGGGGGGAGGCATCGGAGGAGAGGACGGAGGCCTCGTCAACGTCCACCTCCCCATAGTCCACATTCAATGGCACAGGCTCAGGGGCGGGGCCACAGGAGGGAAAGGCATGGGAGGGGCCTGGCAGGTCGACAAACGAAGAAGGGGACCCGGCCCATGGAGCTGCGGGACCAGATTCTACGTCAGCAGCAGCTATCTTCCGCACCTGCGCCTGAGAGGCCTGAGATGAGGGAGGTGCAGGCCGCTTGACAGAAAAAAACCTAGCACGAGCTTCCCTAGTCCGTTCGGGCAGAATAAAACAATTCATGCACGAGGCAGAGGCTTCCCTAGCCAGCAAAGCATGCTCAGGACCCAGACACAGCACACAGTGCTCGTGCCCATCCTCCAAAGGCATAGGAATGCCACACTCAAGGCAAGTCGGGGAGGCGTGGCCCGCCATACAGCGTGGCTAGCAAGGGGCGGCACCACACACCAACGGGGAAGTGCAAGCAGTTAGCCTGAATCCCAAACCCACTGTTTATTCCCGCAGGGCAGGTAAGCGATCTTCCTTACACACCTCACTGTCAGGGAAGAGTGGGACACAGCCTCTGCTGACGGCGTTTATGCACACAGCCGCAGCACAGCCGAGCGAGCAGGCGATGGCGTAACAGCAATGCCGAGCCGCGTGATCCCTGTGTAGTGCGCTACAGCAGCTAGCCGATAGCAACACTGAAGCTGTTTACTTCGTGTGACCATTTACCCCTATGTGTTATGCCGTCACAGTAGCCCAGCCGACAGCGCACGCCAGCACGCCGAAGCGGCTTCCCCCCCCGCGGTATGCCCCACAGCAGCCTAGCCGACAGCACACGATAGCGATTCTAAGCCGTATCCCCACCGGGATTAAGCAACACAGCAGCCCAGCTGACAGTAGTCACACAGCAAGCCGCCGCCGCGAGCCCACAGGCTAAGCTACCCGGTGCCCAGGCGACAGCACCCGCTCCGAGCGCCGAGCCTCCGCGCAAGAGAGGCCAAGGAGAGCGGGCCGCAGCTAGTCAACAGCCGGACCAACAGGCCGGGGACACCAGGGGACCGGAGACACCAAGGGAATACCGGGGCTACCAGGGGAATACCGGGGCTACCAGGGGACCTAGAAGGGAGAAATACATTGCCCACGGAGGATGCCGAAGCACGCTCCAAGAGACGCACACACACAGTACTCTCAAGGTAAGCACTCTTTCGCACACACACACAACAAGTGGAGATCAACGATCACCGGTGTCACGTCTGCACAGCTGTTTTATACGTAGCTGTGGGGCGTAGCCAGGTGGGCCGGAGTGTCGTAAAGAAATATCCACACGCCACGAACAAGGGGGTCGTACCCCGTACATATGGAATATGTAACGGTGTGGAGAGATAGTCTCGATATGCTAGAGAACATCAGGTCAGCTGCTCTTAGTGCAACCTGGGTCTCGGCTGAAGACCAGAGGAGACGTGCCTTTGCCATTACCGCACCCAAATTATATAATAATCTCCCTCTTGACATTCGCACATCAGATTCTATTCAATCTTTTTAAATCTCGTCTAAATACGTACTTGTTTAACCTGGCATTCAAAGCTAATTAGTGTGATTTTCATCTGGCTCTGCATTTATATTATGTAATTATTTTATATCTGTAATTTATATTTTCTATTGTGATTTTATCTGCATCATGGTTTTACTGGAAAGCACTTTGGTGTACTTTGGTCTTTAAATGTGCTATACAAATAAATGTGATATGATGAGAAGTGAACGTCTTCAAGCAACTTAAAGAAGTCCCGACGCTTTTCTTTCCAAGCTTCTTAGACTACGTTGACCTGGACGACTGAGAACCTTCACAGACGTAGTTCATTAGTCTTGTGTCACGCTGACAGAAGAAACTGTTTGAATGCAGAGAGTGATATAAACCCAGGACAAACTTTCACTAATGTGTTTGAAAAAGGATTCAACATTGATAATAATCTGTACACTTTCTCTAAAAATTATCATAAACCTTTAAAATGAAAATACCAATTATTTATAATTACTGTAATTAAAATGTAAATTAATTATATATTTTAATAATAATTATAAACTACAGTCACTATTCTGTAAGTGCTCTCAGGTTCACATACTTGTGCTGCTTTGATTCCTTCGTCCACTCACCTTTTCAACTTCTCCAGTTTCTTGACCTTCTTTCTGTCTCCTTTCTGCTTCATCTTCTCAATCAGGAAGTCCAAGTGGACAGTAGTGGATGCTGAATCAGCTTTCAGAGCGATCTGCTCCAGTCTGACAACATGTTGGTAGGACTCGTCCAGGAACTGTGACTTCTCGGCTGTCAGTTGGATAATTTCCTTTTCAAGATTTTCTAACAGGGTACACTTCTTCTCACTTTCTTTTTGATGGTCTTCATATTTCTGCTCCATTTCTTCTTTGTTCAGAGATGAATCAGCTGCTGTTAGGTCATTCACTTCCTTTGTAAGAGTTTGTAATCGACTCCTCCCCAGCGCACATTCTAGCTCATTCTTCTCATACTGCTTTTTCATTTCTTCATTCGTCTTCATTACCCTCCTTGTCTTGGTCACATATCTCCACTTTTCTTTCACATGATCTGATGCAGGACACTTGTTGGTACAAACAGTGCAGCGACCTCCTTTCATGACTTTACAGTGTGCAGGGTTCCAGGCCATTGTGCATCCAGGATAGTGACAGTTCTCCTCACAGACTGTACAGCAGACAGCTCCTCTGTAAAAAAACAACAATCTCTGCCCACCATCAATAGGTTGTTTATCTTTATAGGGCTCATCAACTTCTACAGTGAATTCCTTAATTTTCTTCATCTCTACTTCATGTTTATTTATAATTTCTTGGATTCTCAGAGCTTCTTGAATCTGTCTGATTTCTGTCTGTTTCAGGTCAATAAACTCTATCCTCTCTTTCAGGTTTTGGATGGAGGCTTTCAGTCTTATCCGTTCATTTAACACTTCAACTGTTGTCATCAGTTTTTGAGGACTAGATTTTTCTAAGAAGTCTGTGAACTGATCCATGTTTTTCTGTGTGAGTTCCCATGTATTTTTTGAAATTGTGTTTTCCTCCATTCGCTCTTCATGCTGGCAGTTATCAAACAGGAAGTAAACTGGCTGCTTCTTCCCTTTTTTGGCACATTTAATATTTCCAACTTCAAGAGCTTGAAGAGGGTTTTCAGGTCTGCTTCCATTTGAGTGTGTGATCAGAGCCACAATGTTTTTCTCAATTTCCTTTCCAAACAGAGACGTCACTGAATCAAAGACATACTTCAGTCGGTCACCCAGTCGATTCTCACTCGCCTTCATCACCAGACCCACTGCATGAACTTCATGGACTCCATCATCTGATCCAAACAAGTCCAACAATCTGTGACTGATGATGTCATCATGTTCGATCCCTCTGGTGTCTCTATAACCAGGAGTATCGATGATGGTCAAAGAATAGGGCAGAGTTTCACCTTCAAAACCAAAGAGCTCGTACACCATCACATCTGATGTCTGACTTTCTGTCTGTCCTTCTGATTGACTTTCTGTCTGTCCTTCTGATTGACTCTTCTTCTCCTCCTCCTCTACCATCGTAAACCAGACTTCATCCTCCCACTTCACTCCCATGGTGTAGTTGACCAGAGCGTTGATCAGTGTGGATTTTCCTGCTCCTGTTTCTCCCACCAGTAAGATGGTTCTGTTTGTCTTGTTTGGATTTTTTTCTCCAACAGTCATTCTTGTCAGAGATCCGAACTTCTGTTTCTGTGGTCTCAGCTGACAGACAGCAGGAGGTCCTGAACTGATGAGAAAACTATTTGAGATGATGTCTTCATGTGATGTCTTCATGGGTTCACTAATCCTAAAAAGCAGAAATTCTTCAGTACACATGTAAACATTATGAACATGGTCAATGGGAGGGACTGCAGAGCTGTTACTCCTCCATATCAAAATAAACAAGGTGACGTGTTTGGGACATCACCCTGGAGAAGACCCAGGACATGCTGTCTCTGGGCCGGCTTGGATAGATTAGAGGAGGAGACTGGGGAGAGCGAGGTCTGTGCACCTCTACTGTCCTCGATGACACAGACACAGATAAATGTCAGAAAATGGACGAATGGAAGGACTAAATTATTGATTTTATTGTAATTCTCCTTCCTTTCGACCTGATGTTAATTTGTCTTTATTGGTCTTTTTTTCCATGTTCACACAAAACACATAAAGAAACTGGAATCAATCTGAGAAAAAATAGATTTCTATAGCTAGCCTTCAAATCCAGCCATGAAAATCAGCTTTCTGTCTGTAATTCATTATTATCAGGATGTCCAAAAAACTCGCTGAAAAGCCTTCAGCTAATCCAAAATGCTGCAGCAAGAGTCCTGACAGGGACTAGAAAGAGAGAGCAGATTTCTCCTGTTTTGGCTTCCCTTCATTGGCTTCCTGTTAAATCCAGAATTGAATTCAAAATCCTGCTCCTCACATACAAGGTCTTAAATAATCAGGCCCCATCTTATCTTAATGACCTTGTAGTACCATATCACCCTATTAGAGCACTTCGCTCTCGCTCTGCAGGCCTACTTGTTGTTCCTAGAGTATTTAAAAGTAGAATGGGAGGCAGAGCCTTCAGTTTTCAGGCCCCTCTTCTGTGGAACCAGCTTCCAGTTTGGATTCAGGAGACAGACACTATCTCTACTTTTAAGATTAGGCTTCAAACTTTCCTTTTTGCTAAAGCATATAGTTAGGGCTGGACCAGGTGACCCTGAATCCTCCCTTAGTTATGCTGCAATAGATGTAGGCTGCCGGGGGATTCCCATGATGCATTGCGTTTTTCCTTTCCAGTCACCTTTCTCACTCACTATGTGTTAACAGACCTCTCTGCATTGAATCATATCTGTTATTAACCTCTGTCTCTCTTCCACAGCATGTCTTTATCCTGTCTTCCTTCTCTCACCCCAACCAATCACAGCAGATGGCCCCGCCCCTCCCTGAGCCTGGTTCTGCCGGAGGTTTCTTCCTGTTAAAAGGGAGTTTTTCCTTCCCACTGTTGCCAAAGTGCTTGCTCATAGGGGGTCATATGATTGTTGGGTTTTTCTCTGTATCTATGAAGCGCCTTGAGGCGACTTATGTTGTGATTTGGCGCTATATAAATAAAATTGAATTGAATTGAATTGAATAGTGTCACGCTAAGAGAAACACTGATGTGTTCGAAAAAGGATTCAACATTGATAATAATCTGTACCCTTTCTCTCATAATTATCATATACTTTTGAAACAAAAATACCAATTATTTATAATTACTGTAATTAAAATTTAAATGAATTACATATTTTAATAATAATTATAAACTACAGTCATTGTTCTGTAAGTGCTCTCAGTTTGACATACCACAGTGCTTCTTCATCCTCTCTCCTTCTCATCTCCTCCAGTTTCTGGACCTTCTCTGTGTCTCCTTTCTGCTTCATCTTCTCAATCAGGAAGTCCAAGTGGACAACAGTGGATGCTGAATCAGCTTTCAGAGCGATTTCCTCCAGTCTGACAGCATGCTGGTAGGACTCGTCCAGGAACTGGGACTTCTCTGCTGCCAGCAGTTTCATTTCCTTTCCAAATAAATAAACATCCTTGTCTTCTGCTGGTGGTTCATTTTTCTGACCTCTCCTTATCCTGGTCACATATCTCCTCTTTTCTTTCACATGCACTGATGCAGGACACTTGTTGGTGCATGACGTGCAGAGACCATCTCTAAAGACCTCACAGTGATTTAAGGGCACCGTGCATCCAGGATAGTGACAGTTCTCCTCACAGACTGTACAGCTGACAGCTGCTTTCAAACCCGGCCCACACGTCTCTGCTCTGATAGGTTCTTTATGTTTAAAAACAACACATGGAGTGACCACTTCATTCTTCTGCAGAGCTTCCCGAGTCTGTTTCATCTCTCTCTGTTTCACTTCAGTGAATCTGATTCTTTCTTGCAGGTTTTGGATGCAGGCTGTCAGTCTGATTCTTTCCTTTAACACTTCAGGAGTTGCCTCTGGCTGCACAGGTGTACTTTCTTTCAGGAAGGCTGTGAACTCTCTCACTCCTCTCTCTGATCTTTCAAAATTTAGTTTCAGAAATTCTTCTTCCTCATCTTCAAGCTGGCAGTTATCAAACAGGAAGTAAACTGGCTGATTCTTCCCTTTTTTGGCACATTTAATATTCCAATCTTCAAGAGCTTGAAGAGGGTTTTTAGGTCTGCTTCCATCTGAGTGTGTGATCAGAGCTACAATGTTTTTCTCCAAGTTTTTTCCAAACAGAGACATCACTGAATCAAAGACATACAGCAGTCGGTCACCCAGTCGATTTTCACTCGCCTTCATCACCAGACCCACTGCATGAACTTCATGGACTCCATCATCTGATTGAAACAAGTCCAACAATCTGTGACTGATGATGTCATCATGTTCAGTCCCTCTGGTGTCTCCATATCCAGGAGTATCGATGATGGTCAGAGAGTAGGGCAGAGTTTCATCTTCAAAACCAAAGATCTCGTACACCATCACATCTGATGTCTGACTTCTTCTCTCCTCCTCTGCGATCGTAAACCAGACTCTATCCTCCCACTTCACTCCCATGGTGTAGTTGAGCAGAGCATTGATCAGTGTGGATTTTCCTGCTCCTGTTTCTCCCAACAGTAAGATGGTTCTGTTTGTCTTGTTTGGATTTTTTTCTCCAACAGTCATTCTTGTTCCAAACTTCTGTTTCTTTGGTCTCAGCTGGTAGACAGCAGGAGGTCCATCAGATCTCTGATCACTCTTGGAGATGATGCTCTCATATTTCCTGCAGAGATATTTTACACAAGTGTTTTGTGTTCTGTCAGAATTTTTCTGCTGAAGGTTCAGACTTTGAAACTTGGCTTCTCAAATATGGAGAATGATTTTTCATCCTTTTCCTCATAACATCAGTTAAAGTCTCAGCTGCTGTTCAGTTTACTTTTCTGCTGTGTTAATGTGTCCATGTATGAACTCTCACTGTAGTGTACGCTACCAATAAATGAAATCAAGAATTCTCTCACTGTAAATGTTCCACTGATATGAATGCATTATTATTTCTACAGTTAATACACAGTTATCATGTCTGACAGCATCAGCATTAGAAGCAAGAAAGCAAAAGAAAAGGAAAGAAAACAACCTTTTTTATTCAAAAAAATAAAAAAATTCCCCAAACATTTGCACCTAATAATTGCGTAACACATTCATCTGTGCCCCATTATGTGTAGAGTATAGAGCTCATGATTACTTCACTTGTTTAAATTACTTAGGTTGGTGCTACTCACTGTGTTGCCATGATAATGAGGATTAAACATATGTGATGACACCTGGAAAAAAAATACAAGAGAAAATCAATCTAAGCAAACATCCTAGGAAAAAAAATCAATTCAGGTTTATTAATATATCACTAAATCATCTTCTGTGTGTTATACCGTAAAGACCCTACAGTGTTCTGGAGAAAGTCTTGGCAATCAGACAACCCCTATGAATAAGTACTTGGTGACAGTGGGAAGGAAAAACTCCCTTTTACAGAGAAACCTTCATCAGAATCATGCACAGGGAGGGGCGGGGCCATCTGTCACCACTGTTTAATGTTAGTGGTGGGCAGACTGATCCAAATATTGATTGTACTCGGTATAGGATCGATACTAGCCTGGTGAGTTCTGCTCTTGTTTGCGTTGCTGTGCTTTTGGCAAACATAGTCATTATGTCATTCAGTCATTATGCAAATTGTACTGTTTATAAGATTGGTGAAACCTGCAGTCAGGTGAGACTGAAGAAATCACTTGGATGAGTGACGAAACGTCTCTCCCACAAAACGCTACGTCCAGATGAACAGAATCAACTTTTGGAGACGTATTTCCTCTGTGTTCACATACATAGCAGCCGAGCTGCACAGAGCCCAGACGACAGCGTATGCTTGAACGCTGAAGCCGTGTCCCTGCTGTGTTGGCACACTGTAGCCGAACTACTTGCTAGTGCACAGCCGCACAGCGTGGTCCGACCGGTGCACAAGCCTATTTTGAGGCGATAAACCGGGGAAGGGACACCAACCAAGGGGAAAGCTAAGGGCCAGCTAAGGGGAACCAAGCTAAGGGATAGCAGGGCACACCAGGGGAATACCGGGGCTACCTGGGGAGTGCCGAGGCTAGCAGGGGAATACCGGGGCTACTGGGGAAAGGGGTGAGGCACCGCCCACAGACTATGCCGGAACATGCGCCTGACGGACGCACAAACATACAGCACTCTCAACGCAAAGCACTCACACACACACAACACAAGTGGAGATCAAACGATCACCGGTGTCACGTCTGCACAGCTGTTTGATACATGCGCTGTGGGATGTAACCGGGGGTGCTGGAGTGTCTTAAAGAATATCCACACGCCACGATCAAAATGTAAACTAAAAGACACTGAGCATAATAACAAAGAGACAGATTTCATAGCTGCTCTGTTCCCAACTTCTACTGTGTGACTGACAGGCTGGAGTTTGAAATCCTCTTCGTAACCACGTCTCTTAACAGGTGCCATTTATGGTCCTTATACACAGTAGGGTAATATTACGTTGAAGCACAGTACGTATCACTCCGCGAGGCTCAGCCGTAATGCTCCGACAATCCATCAAGCGGTGCAGCTCCGTAGCTTACCAAAGTCGTACTAAAACATTTTTGACAGATTGCTGAGCGCCGTGTTCCACATAAAATCGGTTTTAGGCCATCAAGCACAACCAGAATTCATACAAAAGGCGCGCTGTCAACTTTTGAGAGAATGAAAGGATTTTAGGCCGTGCAGCACCTCTGGGCTGCATGGCGTTAGCGTGGTTAGCTTGTTAGCGTGGTTAGCTAGCTAACACGTTGACGCCATCCAGCCCCACGCACGGGGCGATGCGCAGTAACTCGCTAACGGAGATTTGCCGTGTCCATGTTGTCGCTTCCTGCAGGTGAAGCGATGGGGGAGGAGGGGGAGTTGTGTTCAGTGAAGGAGGGGCGAGGCCAAGTAACGTTGCGTAAAGACGAAAGTGGACGAAAGAGAGGCAAACTTGCGGCTCCACAACTATAATTATAACGTAACATAGACTATATCGATATAAAGGATATTGTCACAGCTTATATCTCGTATAAAAATATATCGATATTTTTTAAAAACTCGATATATCGCCCAGCTCTAGTATGGAGAGATAGTCTCGATATGCACTCAGAAAAATTATGGTTCTTAAATGGTTCTTCAGAAGTCTTCATGGTTCTTTAAAGAACCATCATACGTCAAAGAACCTTTTTATTTTGTGGATGGTTCTTCAGCTATTACAAATGGTTCTTTAAAGAACAAAAAGTTCTTCATCCTTAGCAATCTAAGCTTGATGGTGTAAATGGCATAAATATTTATTCACCATAACGAGGCTGTGAATTATACTGTGTGTTTTCTTTGTGTGCATGTGTGTGCGAAGGGGGAGGGCGGATTACCTGGCAATTACCCTTTAAGAGAAGATGGTAGGAAACTGAATATTCAAATAAAAGTTAGAAATATTTGCTTAAAAATTATACTGGTGGCAGGGGTGGGGTGAAAGCCTAAAGACCCTAACCCCCCCACACACACACACCCCTAACCCTGCAAACTGAATATGGTGAGTTAACAAACAGACCCACCTGGCCTTTTTGACGGCCACGTCTGGCCCATGTACCTGAAACATAAGAACATCCATTGTTCTTATGAATATGGTGAGTTAACAAACAGTAGACACAATACACACATTCAAATACTGTACTTTAGTTTTAAATTTTATTAAAGCATTACTATTTTCTACTCCAAGGCATTACTTTTGAGATTATTATATATTTTTGAAAATATAGCATAATGATAATACTAGTTATTGTAAACTTTACAAACCACCCAGCAGTATGTAAAGTCAAATTATATAATACAAGTAAATAACAATTACACAACAGAATGTACACTGCTTAGGTAAATGATCTGAGTAGTGTTACGATCCAATGTTGTGTTTCCTGTTTTACTTTGAAGGTCTGTCTTATCTCAGTGTGTTCAGTTTACGCTTCCTTGTCTCGTCAGTTCTGATTTGCCCCAGCTGTGTTTCCCTCCTGTTGTCCACTCCTTGATTGCTCCCTCTATGTATTTAAGCCCTGTGTTTCAGTTTGTCATGGTCGTGATTGTCCCCCTGTGTTGTAAATAGTTGTCGATACTTTTTCTTACTCGGTAGCTGTAGGGGTGAGAAGCCATTTTTCTTTGGCAACCTTTTCTCCTGTTTTTGGTTAGGGAGGCAGGTAAGACACCTGTAATTTTCGTTTGGGGTTTTCTGTGAAGGTAAGCCAGCTGCATTTCATTTCTAGTAGTGATGGCCAAATGAAGCTTTCTGAAGTATTGAAGCTTGTATTGAAAAACGGTTCATTACTCGAAGCTTTTCAACACAGTCCTCTCTGGTGACATCTGGTGGCCAAAAATATGAAGAGCAGCTTGAATCCACAAAATAGAACCAACCGCTTCATTATGATTGCCCACTCACTCTACAGAGTGGAATCCTGTCTGATATTGGGCCTCCGGCGTGTTGCTTTGAACGTGTATTTTTTGGTGGTTAAGAAAATGTGTTTTATTTGTTTAATAAATAGTTTTGACCAGTAAACTCTCCTTGTTTAGATATGCACCATGGTGTGGTCTTTCTTTGCTTGTGACTTCTTGATGTTGGTAAATATAATAATTGAAAAATACCACGTTACATATATATACATATAATAATGTAAAACACATTATGGAGTATGCTTCTGCTGTGAGGTCTTGCCTCCATGCAGGTATGCATTTAATCGCCGGAGGGGTGTATTTATAAATAATATTATATTAAGTAAATTTTCCCAGACATATTTTTGACCTGGGGGTAGAATTGATTGTGAAATGGAAAAGCAAAATGCTTATGAACTTGCAAATTAAAATCATGATGCATTGACGGTAACCCTTTTTCATTTTTATTTAAAAAGAGAATTTGTTCTAGTGTGCGATGGCCGAACCTGTTCCTTTTCGTGGAGATAATTTCTCCTGCCTTAAGGGACATCCCTTCACATGGCACAGAGGAGGCTGCATTGCAGAGAAACTGGTAGAGATGCAGTTATACAGTCTACCTGGGCCCCATTTTCAGATTAATTACACAATAAAAAATATATTTTTACAACATTACACGTAAAGAGTCAAGTGGAAGTTTTTCTAAAGTTATTTAATGATATTTATATTATGGAAGCAGATTTTTGACATTTTACCTTTTTCCCGTTTTCAGATATAATAAACACGCACAAAACAAAAGCAAACGGCCAGAACACAAAGCTGGAAAACCCTCCGATTGCCAAAAATCAACTCAAAATCCTCCCACCCAACAGAACCTCCTCTATTCCTCGCTGGCTCCAAATCTCTCAGTGGAATGATCAGTGGTTCGCTATCTGTCACCATCAAAACACTCCACAAATCCCGCGAATGATTCGCTTACTTATAAACCATTGAATCAGGTACCGAAGGCTCTAACTGAAGCTCTGACGTCACTGATCACGTGACTCTGGCCAAACGAATCAAGCTTCGACACAGAGCTTCTGAAGCAGTGTGTTGGTTTTTTTGACACACGCACCGGAGCTTCAGCTTCAAGCGGACCATCACTAATTTCTAGAGTTTTTGTTTGTTGTTTTGGCCATGCTCACCCTGATGCCTGCTACCTTTTGGGACTCAATAAACTGACTGGCTGTTGTGAAATCCGTGGTAGCTGTTTTTTGTTGGTTCGTCCTTCTTAAGAGCAGAGAGTGGGGGGGCATTTTTCCTTATTTTTATTTTCCTTATGTTGCATGCCAGTTTTCCCTGGGCTGGGGTGTAGCATAAATGGGGGCTCGTCCATTCGCTGGAAGGTCCGAGGGACCGCTTCAGCCTTCCTCTCTTCGTTGTCAGTGTTTTGTGTTAGGCGTGACTGTTATGTGTTTCCTGTTTTACTTTGAAGTTCTGTCTTATCTCAGTGTGTTCAGTTTACGCTTCCTTGTCTCATCAGTTCTGATTTGCCCCAGCTGTGTTTCCCTCCTGTTGTCCATTCCCTGATTGCTCCCTCTATGTATTTAAGCCCTGTGGTTCAGTTTGTCATGGGTTGTGATCATTGTGGTGTTGGTATCGTAGTTTTGTAAATAGCTGTAAATAGATTTGTAAAGTAGCAATTGAGTATTTTTCCCACCTTGTATATATTGTTCACTGCAGCAGCCTAGTAGGTGTGAGAAGCCATTTTTAAGTTTTCTCCTGTTTTTCATGCAGCGAGTTAGGTAAGGGAATTGTCTTTTGTTTGGTTTTCAGTTTGGGTAGGAAAGCGTAGGGACCATTAGGGAGTTTTGTTTGTTAGTTTTGGCACTGCTCACTGCTGAAGCAAATAAATGGCTGCTTAGCATTTTAAAACAGATTGTTGTTTGTGTTCTTGCTTGGGTGGAGTGTGAGTGGGCCAATGTTTTGTTGCGTTCAGGGCACGCCTAGACCTAGAACGTAACAGTAGTTGTTCATCACTGAGCAATTTGTTAATGTGTTTCGAGCCAAATAAATGAGAGAGAGAGAGAGAGAGAGAGAGTGACGTCAGAACACGTCAACTATAACCTCCCGGGAGCGGACGGAGGGGGTCAGTCGTTGGGATGCGCATGCGCAGACAGAGTGCGCGAGCGGCGGGCCTTGACTTTCGGGGGAAAAAAACACTTTCTCACGGACGGTGACAGTGAAACGGATAACAGTCTTCAGTACCTGCTGGACTTTGAAGCTGTGGATTCTGGGACTGTTGGAAAAGGTAAAACATTTTCATTAAAACCTTATTACTGTTTTGTTTTTGTTACTCGTCATTGTAGCTTGTTGTTAATGTTGTGCTAACAGTAGCGATTAGCTAGATACGTTAGCCGTTGACGTCAGCGCAATTTGGTATCCAACTGTTTTCCTAACAAAACCACTGTTATAATTAAGTGAAGCTGCTCCCAGCTAATGTGAACCTTTGGCTTCTAAAATATGTGGTTCAATTGCGTGCTGCGTACATAACCTAATGTCAGCTAGACCGAAATTAAAATTTAATATATTGTTAAAGTCACTAAAATGGCGCCTGAAGCCTTTTGTGACGTGAGCTCTGTGTCTGCTCTAGAAACTCTGTAGATCTGAGCCGTACATTAAATACTCACATGAACCTGTACTTTGAATTCTGTATGAGCTGTATAAAATGCAGCTATGCATAAGTGTTTTGAATGAATAATTAGATTAGATAACTCTTTATTGTCTAATCGAATTATATAGAAATGTGACATGAGAAGGTGTCTTTGACTGTTCCTGCATAACTTAGTTTCGGACTAGTTGACAAGTTATGCTCCGGTCATTTGATGTTTCCAAGCTAATGTTCTTTTGTAATATAGTTAATTTTTTTGTATATTTCATTTATCCACCATCATACATACAAGCTAAGAAGAGGTCGTTATACTAACAAGAGGTATCAACGCTGGGCCAAAGTTCAGCACATGGTTAAAGTTTGTAATCCAGCCAGGGTGTAAATATCACTCAGCAGCCAGAGCTGAAGCAGGTAGCATCAACACATAAATCTACTCTACCCGGCTTAAATCACAAGAGCACCTCTGACCAAAAAGCTGTAGATTTTTCTTGTTTGCACAAATTAATCCAGATTCACATTAATTGTGTTCACAGCTCCAACAAAATGAGGAAGAGGAGGGGGAGAAACACAATTAGGTTGAATTACAATTGGATGGAAGGCGAGGACAAGGAGAAGGAAGCTTAGGATGAGGAGGAAGAGAAGCAGCAGGAGCATCTTTAGGGATCCCTATGATGTCATTGAGGTTGGTTTCATTAATATGGTCCTCTCACAAAGAAAGATGACTAGTTTTAGTTCACCTACTTCCTGTATTAAATAGTGATGTGCAAAATGTTGTGAAAAACCATGGAGCAGGTACATATAGTGCATCTGCAGGTAAATGAACATCAAATCTCTAAGACAGACTGAAATCTGTATATTTATCACCCTTATGATAAAACCCATGTCAGCCATTGGTTTATGGACTTTGTATTTTGAAGCCTCAACACTTTCTTTATTGCTGTTGCTATGTTGGGACCATATTAGGATGAGGGATCAGGATCTGGAGTCATGCACACTATTGTTTCATTTAGTGTGTATCCATAAGATTCGTACAGCAGATCCAAGTTGTGCCTTGAAAACAGGAAAGTCGTCTGCATAGAGGAGAACTGTAATAGCAGGCTTGTACAAAGTGAGGCTTTGTGCACTCGTTTTACTTCTGTCACCCTGTTTTGATGCAGAATTCACTTGAAATCAGGCAAGAACTGGACTTATTTTTTATGTGTTCTTGTGAATTGATTGTGTATCGCATATGTTTGATTTGACTTTCTGCAAGACAACAGTCGTCCACTGGCCAAAAAAGTGGACGACTGTTGAGGGGAGACCTCGGCTCATCCAGCTGGAGAGCCTGACCAGGAGGAGTGGAACATTAACTCAGCTCTTCCAGGGCACCCTGCAGACTCGGCTGTTGGCATCGACGAGGGATGACGTGAACGCCAAACTGGAGTCCATCACAGGTCAACTGCAGGTATGCGAGTCAGACCTTCTGAGGAGGGTTTCACTTTTCTCTCTTCTTTATAATTGACCCTTTTCTCTCTCTTTCAGC